TCATCTGGAGTACTGCGTCCAGTTCTGGGCTCCCCAGTACAAAAAGGACAGGGATCTCTTGGAAAGAGTCCAGCGGAGGGCCACGAAGATGGTGAAGGGCCTGGAGCATCTCTCCTATGAAGAAAGGCTGAGTGAACTGGGTCTGTTCAGCCTTGAGAAAAGGAGACTGAGAGGGGACCTGATCCAGGTCTATAAATATCTAAGGTGTGGGGGGCAGAATGGCGAGGCCAGACTGTTTTCAGTGGTGAGTGGAGACAGGACAAGGGGAAACAGCTGGAAACTGCAGCATAGGAAGTTCCGCACAAATGTGCGCAAGAACCTCTTTACAGTTTGGTGATGGAGCACTGGAACAGGCTGCCCAGGGAGGTGGTGGAGTCTCCTTCTCTGGAGATGTTCAAGACCTGCCTAAATGCCTACCTGTGCGACCTGCTGTAGGGAACCTGCTTTGGCAGGGGGGTTGGACTCTATGATCTCTGGAGGTCCCTTCCAACCCCTACAGTTCTGTGATTCTGTGATTCTGTGATTTATAATTGGACATTCATTCTTTCCTATCTTCTATGAACACAGAGAACACTGTCTTGAAAACAAAGAACTGGTTTTTATTATTAGCTGGTTGCACATGACGTGTGGTAAAATATTCATGATTTTTATTTCCTGTCCCAATAGTTCACCATTTTCCAGTTCCCTTATTTCTACTTGCATAACATTAAACATGGTTACATTTTCATTATTTGATTAACGTCACTGCCTTTCATCTGCCCTGAAATGACATAAATAATAAACAAATTACATTACAAGCCCAGCTGCATGGGTCTCATTTGCTCTAAATAAAAGTTTTTGAGCTATTATTTTTTTACTGATTCTCCTATACAGACTTTGATTAAATCTCTGCTAACAGTAGGCAAGCAGTATTTATTCTGACCCCATGCTGCTTTATTAAAGATAAGAAATAAAAAGCAAACTCACTACACTTTCACGTGATTTTTATTAATAATCCATTAAAACATTATTTATTAATAATCCACTAGACAGTCATAGACAAGGGAATATTATTGCTGCAAAAAATAGCAAATTGCTGTGACCAAAGTTCACTTTTGCACTGTCTCTCTTCTGCGCACAGAACTACTGTGTACTTCTGCATACAAAAACACACTTTGAGCCCCCCTATCCATCTGTAGAGGAGTTATGTTCTTCTAAAGGCAGTGAACACAAAAACAAAAGGTCTGAGGTCACAAACATACACAGAAGATTTTTATGGCAGACTTACAGTTAAACAGACTATAGCCTCCAGAATTTAACAAGTACATCTTGGGTGAGACTCATTAGCTTGACAGAATATACAGACTTTTCAATCTATTCCTGACAGAAGGGTAAGTACCTCCATTCCACCTTCTTCTGCATTCAGAGCCCATGTCTTGGAAAGCCCCTTTTACTTGAGCTAAAATCATCTCAAGCCATTAACGAGTGAACCTCAACAAAAAATTAAGTGGCTCTCAAATTTTATCTCCTATAAAAACTCTCATTAAGTACCTTTTTCAAAGACATCACAAGACATAAGGTGCCAAAATTGTTAGATTTCTGAGACTTCATACTCTTCTTGTATATTTATAGATTCATAAATCATGATGCAGCAGATACTGTATTCAACATCTTACACTATAGATAAACTTTTAAGTAAATTTTCAGTACTAGAAGTGGAATCTTACTTCTCACAATTTGCAAAATTGTACAGAGCAGGTACATAAACCCCAATAATCATGTTCAAGTCATGATCCCTCATTCCAGTTTGTCTCAGAGATAATCTCGGAGATCTATGGTCCATGATGAGTAAAGACAAGAGATTTTCTGAGTCACCTGATTGTCTATTACCCTTAACCCCTATGGAATTCATTACAAATCTGCCTGCCAGACTGACAGATTTGCCATATCTCATTGTTTTTTGAAATATCATAAGTACCTTAAGCATGCTATTTGGAGAGCCTTTAAAACAGAACTTCATTTTATTAATAAAGGCAATATTATCATTTAGGTTTTAACAGCTTCAGCATCATGTAAAGACGACCTTTCAGTTAGTTGGGTATTTCAATCTTGGCTTTTTTTTTTATTTCAGACCTTTTTGTTTAGTGGAATGCAATTCACAACTAGGAAAAAAAAATAAAAACGAGATTTACCCACCACTTGCAGCCTTTAAATGAAGATGTTTTTCCTGAAATATATGTTCCAATTCAGCTACGAGCTATCATCTTCTGAAAGCTAAGGTTTTGTTTACATATAAAAAATACCAGAGATACAAGGTAAGAAAAAAAGTAGACCCAAGATTCAAGGTAAAGCAAGTTATTAGTCTTTAATTTCCCAGATCTGCCTTCAATTCTACCACTGAAGAGACTGTTAAATTTTCCTTTACTCAATGCTTATTCCCTCACATCCCAGGAAAGAGCCCCTTCCTTTACCATTGCAGAAGACGAGGTGGGGCCACTGCTTGGGGCTTCCGGGCATTGGTGAAATGTTGTATTCCTTACAGGCCATCATATTGTTGGTATGCATCCATTGACAGGCAGTAAGTAATCGTATTGCAGCTGTATATGCTGTTATCATAGCATTATTTCTTCTTCAGTCTTAGTAAACAGTTTTCATCTCAACCCACTTGTTCTGTTTTGTTTCCAGTACTCTTTCTCATCTCAGCAGAGAGAGGGGAAGTGAACAAATGGCTGCATGGTGCTCAGTTGCTTGCTGGATTAAACTACAACAGCAACTTTCATCTTCTGCATGGAAATTAAATTAGTTAAGCTAATGCAAAACAGGTCAGTTTCTCTCAAATGGTTTAAGATGTAAAAATGATTTCTTCTTTGTCCTAACGATCAATTTTCAGGCATAACGTGTTCCTTTCCACTTATGGAAATTACCATCATAATGAATAGGGTGTGGGTAGACCAAACCCATGGTATCATTTCATTGATTGCTGGTATGCTTAGTGAACATATAAACAACTGACGGAGCTTGTGTCATAGGATTGTATAATTAGGCAAGAACACCAGGTGGGCTGTGGGCCTTTAATAAGCAGAGCTGAGAGCCATAATAGACAATGTAAATAGCCCTAGGAAAACGAAATGAAGCCTAGTAGGTGTTCAGGGCACTGGAATATAGTCTTGTGTTGTATTTTAAAGAATGCAAAAATAAGAATTAAAGTTGCAAGAATATAAATTTAAATTGCCTGTGCTTAGACTTTTCTTGTAATTATTTCAAGCCTAATCATGTGAAGAACTACGCACAGCTTGCCAACACTATCAGTGAATGCTATGTTCTTTCCAAACAGTATAGATAGTACATATTCCTCAGGTTTTTCATCTAAGACCTTCTTTGTATGGAGTTATTTTTTCCAAATCAAAAGTTTCACATAACCTGTCTAGAATTTGTTTTCTATGGCCTCGCTCAAACGATCTTTACAGAGATTTGACTTTGTTTCTGCTTTGCAAGGAGGAACTTTGTCTACCTGTGTCTCTCTGTAGTGTTTCCAGTATTCACATCTGTAGGCTGGTTGTATGTAGTATCAGCCTGAGTATAAGACACGCCACCTTCACTTCTCTTGTGGTAGACAGTTTGCAGAAACAGACACTCACAGAGGAAACAGTAAACAGGATATGATTAAGATTCTTTGAAAGCACATGGCAATCTCAGAAGTTCACCAAGAAATTTGGAGGTATTAAAAGTCAGGCTGGAACAGGCACTGAACAACTTGATTTAGCTGTAGGCATCCCTGTTCATTGCAAGGGAGTTGGACTAAATGGCTTTTAAGGGTCCCCTCCAACTCAAAGGATTCTATGAAAGTATAATCTTAGATTTACTTTCCTAACCTATTTTAAAGGCATAGATCTTTACTTAACCTCACTATTTTTGGCACTGCAAATAGCATATAGGTGACAGATGGGGCAAATTTATCAGATAATTGCAAACAAAATGTTTGCTTGTAGGTATTATTTTTGAGTCCTGGTAAAAATTTAATGTAGTCAGATCTGTTTATGCAATGCAGTCAAGAGGAAGAAATATTTTCAATTTTTATAAAAACCTCCTTGTGTGAAGATCGTGACTAAATACAAAAATAAAAACCCTTATGAAGTTTCTTGATAGCTTTTTATTTTTTCCACATTCTTCATTCTAAGTATGATTCTTGCATAGACTGTTGATTCTATAGGATTAATTAGATCCTCCAATTTCATCTATTCCCTTTCAACATATACATTGTATATATACTGCTGAATTTAGAGGATATACAAAGCTTTATAAAATATGCCAATTTTCAGGTTCTAGGATTTAGAAATATTATATAGGCAGAGGCCTTCTGTGATTAAGTGATCGTAGTATCTGATTTCATAACCAGTCAGACTATTACTAAAATCTTTGTTGCTTTTACTGCTCAAGTGTTTGTTGGTTGGTTGTTTTTTTTTTTGTTTTTTTTTTTTTCTTTTTTTTTTTTTTTGTTGTTGTTGTTGTTGTTTTTGTGGATGCAAATCACAGTTTCTGAGGAGAAAATATTTTTTCGCTTATTCTACAAAGCTGTAAAACATACTCTACTGTAAGAGATTACTGTAAGGTAATTGCCTTCAGTTCAGTATTAACTGAAGCCAAATGTTTGACTACAGGCAAAAATTTCTACAAAATATAGTACCCTGTTATTACCTTTCAGAGTTCTCTTAAACTGCACTTTTGCACGTGCTTCAAGTAGATCCTGCCATCTGAATACAATTTCCCTACAGGAGCTTGGGTGAACCGGTGACAATTAGAGATTAGGTATCTTTCTCCACAGGCGTAATGCAATCCTCTCTGTTTTAAACCATTTTCTTTGAGTTACTAAAATTGCATCTTCATGCCAAAAGTCTCTTGGAAGTGGGAAAATAAGAAGTGGACTGAAGTTCCCACAGACTGTAATAACAAAGCTGCCATTTACAAACTGAGATGGTAGTATGCAATCTTTTTCCAGTGTAGATAAACTGCAAGATTTTTACTGGAGTACACAGGGAATTCTCATGTTCAGATACAGCTTCCCCTGTTCCAGTCTTTGCATGTTTCTCTTTGTCCTGTTGCTTGGCACCACTGAAAAAGCATAGCCCCATCCACTTGACTCCCTATAGATATTTAAGAAGATTAATAAGAATCATCTCAGTCTGTTCTCCAGACAAACAGTCTCAGGTCTCTCAGAGTATCCTCTAGGGAGAAAGGGAGTACAAACTCCCATTAGATTTTCATTTACAAACATTTGCAATTTGATTCTAAATGTTTGAGGTTTAAAATCAATAAAGCTTGAAGTCATTTGACATTTCCAGAAACATATTTTTTAGCTAGGTCAGAGACAAAATTGCCTTTAATCTAAAAATTGAATCATTCGTCATCATAGCTGCACCATTTTGTCAATTTTTTAAGAGTCTGTGTAAGATTTACGTTCTTACAAACTTGGTGCATGCAGAATACTTATAGTGATACTCAGAAATAAAATCACCTGCATCACTGAACAAGAGCCAGCAGCATGTAGGATACAAGGCATTTCAAAAGAGAACTGCTAACCGCTCCCACTTAGGCACTAGCATTGCCAACTACTCACACAGGCTGTATTTAATCAAACACCTGGATTTTTCCAGAAGCCTCCCTGGTACACAAACTTGTCTTAGTACGTGTAATAAATGACACGTTGAATTTCATTCACAAAAGGCCCTGCACCGAAACAACGCAGTGAACATTGCTTTTCATTCTGCTGCTCATTCTGTTCTCCGGGGGATCCTGCTGCTAAATTTCAGGTCTGGTTTACATCTCGGTAGTCATAATCAAAATTATTGCTTTAGTCTGAGAGTTTAAAGCATTTGTTAAACACAGTTAATGATGCATGACTGTATGAAAGCCGAATTCTTCCCATCATATTTCAGGTGGAGATTCTAAAAATCTATTTTGGCAACATTATCAGGGCCAACATATGCATCATAAAATTTTTATGCTTACTGCTAGCAGCAACAATTTTAGAGAGTGATCCATCTCCCACTAAGATCCGGAATAAGTATTTTTTGCTTCAGTGATCCTTGGCAATTCTTATACCTAAATAACAAATATACTTCTTTTTTTGTACTTAAATAGAGAGTAGAGAGAGCACAAGAAAGAGATGACTTTTTTTTTTTTTTTTAAATGTGCCCTAGAAAGGCAAGAGGCTAGTATAAAGGACATGACATGGAAAATTAAGACACAAAGATAAAAAAAAGTATTTACTTCCTGCTTGGTCTGATAGTCTTTAAACCTTGAGAAACTTTGAGCCTTAAGTCCTTTTTTTTTTTTTTCCAGTTCTCCTTTCCATGTGAAGCATGGGATAAACTCTCCTGAAGCTGAACATGACCATGTAGGAACCTGTAAGGAAAGCTTCAGCTTTATAACACCAAACACACTTGGAAAAACTAACTTGTAAAAAATTGATTTGTTGTTAGAAACTACAGGTGTAAACAACAAGGCCAAGGATATTTCTCCTCCAAATAAATGATAAAATTAAACGGCAAGTACCTCTTAATGCATAAATAATTATTTACAGCTTTTCGTGATGGCACCAAGCTGAGTGGGGCAGTTCATACAGAAGAAAGAAGGGATGCTGTCAAGAGGAACCTTATTAAACTCAAAAAATTGGCTGATGTGATCCTAATGAGGTTCAATAAAGTTAAGCGCAGGGTTTCACACTATAGTTGAAGTAATTCCAGATACGTACACAGACTGAGAGAAGAACTCCTTGAGAGTAGCCTGTTGAGAAGGACTTCAGGGTCCTGGAAGATGAAAAATTTAACATGAACCAGTGTTGTGTGCTTGCAGCCAGAAAGGCCAATCATATCATGAGCTGCATCAGAAGAAGGGTGGCCAACAGTACAAGAGATCCATTTGTCCTTCTCTACTCCACCCTCATGAGATTCCATCTAGAGTACTGCATTTAGGTCTGGGGCCTCCAGCACAGGAAGGGTGCTGAGCTTTTGGAGACGGTCCAGAGGAGGGCCGCAAAGATGATCAGAGGTCTTGAGGACCTCTGCTACAAAGACAGGCTGAACAAACCATGCATGTTCAGGCTGGAGAAGAGAAGGCTGTGGGGAGACCTCACATGTCCTTCCACTATTTAAAGGGAAACTATAACATGAGGGAAATCAACTTTTTATTTGGGTAGACAACGAGATAAAAAGAGGGGACGATTTTAAACTACAGGAGGGAAGATTTAGACTAGATGTCAGGGGTAAGTTTTTCACTGAGAGGGTGGTGAGATGCTAGGACAGGTTGCATAGAGAGTATGTGGATGCCCTGACCCTGGAGATGTTCAAGGCCAGGATGGATGGGGCCCTGAGCAGCCTGGCCTGATCTAGCTGTTGGCTGCCCTGTCCGTGGTAGGGGGTTTGGAAACTAATGATTCTTGAGGTCCCTCCCAGCCCAAGCCATTCTATGATTTTGTTTATGAGTACACACAGACAATAATAGCCTTGCAGTACACAGTATGGCACAGAATTGAGCAAATAAAAAGTCCAAAGATTTTCCCAAAGGCTCATTTCTTATGGAGGAATAAAATTGATGCAATCCTAATTATGCCTAAAATACAGTATTCTCATTAATATTTGTTGTTCAATATTCATGTTAAATAGATAGAGGGGATCATTTTCAAATGGTGATGTACTTACACTGTCTTGAGGCAGACACCAAGAGCCTGTAAGCAGATCCATCCACTCTGTACAAACTGCCACCTCAAAATCTAAAAAAAAGTTACAAAAGCTTGTGAAGATGTTTATTTATAGTGTAATTTGAACCCTTCTCTTCTAGAATCTTGTCACTCAGTACCTGTTCATGGACTACCAAATTTAAACTAATTTCACCAATGAAGTCAATCAGACGAGAATCACTGCAGTTGATTGTAAACAGATTTTATGATATATGTGCTTGCTACTCAGCTGGTATGGTTTATAAAATGCGTGATATCATGCAAAATAAAACCTGTCTGAATACCTAAAAATTTGTAGGAAATTTCAAACCTGCTTATGAATCTTTTCAAGAAAACTTGAACCAGGTTTAAGAAAAGCACAGTTGATACTGTGAATGGAAACATAATGCAGCACAACACAGAAATTGATGTGATTTAAGTTGAATCCTGAACATTTTAATTACATTTAATTACTGTCAACATCTGTCAAAACAGTGCTGACTTCAAAAGAAAAATCTTCCCATTCCTATCCCCACACTGAAAAAAAAATGAAAAAGACAAAAAATACACAAAGGAAGATTTTTGACATCATTTCCACAGTACCTTATTTAGAGCTACTAATACTCTTTTTGTTTTCAAGCTATGGTCTTTGTGTTCATATTGAATTAATGAATAGCGATATCTGTATCTTACAGTTATTTGGTAGAGCATCTGTAAAGGCAGCAGGACCAGATAGTAGTAACGAGAGTGGGTTACAAAAAAAGGATGCTCACTTGTAACTGAAGAGGTAAGCTCAAAAGAATATTCCACAAAGAAGGGATCTCCAACAAGAGATCCTTTCTTAGTGGCAGTCAGCCCTTAAAATGAGGTCTAAAAGAGATGCAGCCAGGCTCCACCCTTTTTGGTTGCACAGGTGAATTGCCTTCACTTGTGCTTCCAGGGCTGACCATGTCTTTTCTCCAGGTTCTCAATTAGTGGTTCAGTCTGTGACTCAGTAGTTCCCATATAGCAGCTTTATACATTACTATCAGAAAGTGCAGAGTTCAAGGTTATCTTCCTGCAGATGAGTTTCCTCCAGAAATTCTTCCCAGTTACCATTCACACATCAGGGAAGGAGAGGTAGAGGTGGAAGTGAAGATTGGTATCCTTGTTCCAGATACTGTGTGGTTTGGCAAGATGTTGGCTAAAACTTATTTCTCATGTGTTTTGTGAATGCTTCTCCATCTGGACCTTTACTCCAGTTACTAGCTCTTGCAGATCTCAAAACAAGCTATGACACAATCATCTGATATTGCCTTTAGAGAAAAATCCACAAATGCACTACACTGCCACCTAAGTGTAATGTTGCTTATATAAATGCTAAGAAGTGCTCTTTATGTTAAAAACATCTCAGGGGTGATTAATGTTTTCTTCCTATCCTTGTAACTACATATACTAATGTTGAAATAAAAGATATAAAGTGAGGGAAAACATAAAGCTTTTCCTATATCTATCATGATGCCAAACATAGGAAAATATTTATTATAATTAGCACACAAATAAAACAATAGATAGAAGAGAAAAAATGTTTTATGGGTTGGCTTTCTGTGTGTGTGTGTTGAGTATAATTTTACCCAAGGCCAGTAACAAGTGCCTCATCTGGAACATTATGGCATTTTGTACAGCCATCTGTTCATTCTATGACGAAAAAGAGGATCAGCTAGTGGTTCTACATTTGGATGAAACTTTTGATAACTTAGCATTTCCTAGTTATTTTTGTGGGGAGTTTTGTGTTTTATTGTGTGCTGGTTTTTTTTTGTTGTTGTTTGTTTGTTTGTTTGTTTGTTTTTAACAGAAATTTATCCAATTTTATATTTCTAACAAAAGGAATAGAACCATTGCTATGGTTCCTAAGTGCAGACCATATTGTGGAACTGAGTCAGCATGATATAAGTATACGTGGAATGAACATTACTGGAGTAGCAGGAGTATGCCTCATAGATAATTCAAAACTCTAAACTGATTCTACACTACTTCTTCATCATCTGTTTAATGGTGAATTATGTGTCAGAATTTTTATCAATCGATACAGTAACTGAAATCAAAGAACATGGTAGTGTCCTCAGTCCTGCTTCAGCATGTATCAGAACATAGCTCATGTCTGGTAATAGACATCAATTAATTCAACTGGGCTTAAAACAAGAGCCTAGTTCTGGAGTTCCAGGGGTTTGGGGAATGCCTCTGTTTCTATGAAATATAGTATCATACACTTGTTAACATTAAACAGCAGCTTTGCTCTAAATTTTTACTCTGTTAGATGACATTTTTTGCATCATTACTGGATCCCATTGCCTTCCAGTACAAACACACTTGCTTTGCAAGTACAAATATTTCTTCTAGTTGCTAGGACTGCAAACACAGTGTAGGAACTGAAAATTCAGGCACTTTTAGACATACTGTGGCCAGGGTGATGAAAAGATTTGCTTTATTTCCTTTTTCCAAAGCTTCTTACCTCCTCCCTAAGAGGCCCCTTGTGGCCACTGAACACTAGATCTTACAGTTCTGAAAAGGTTATGGTTATAAAACCTGAGTCAACACTCCTATTAACAAAGAACATATGGCGAAATGAAATATCACTACAGAATAAATATAGAAGGCCATATAAATAATAGAATGTGTTTCCTCTCACAAAAATCCATTCTGCCCTTATTGGACTTTTAGTTGCCAGTATTCTTGCTTTCTTGAATTAGAAAAATCTCATATCATCCTTCAGGAATGCAGGAGGCTGTCTTCCTTATTTTTCTTCTTCCATAAAGAATCTCATAAAAATACTGGTGATTCTTAGATTTTTGTTCTTGGATTTGTTTTTCATCAACTAAAGCGTTTATTAAGCATCAACCTGTTGATGTTGCAAGATAAAGTTTGTTCTAAGAGCTAATCTCTAGACTTTTATCGCTAGAATGCTTTTGAAAATTTCTACTTCTACATCTCACTGTCTTTGGTATCAAACGGATGGGAACACCTGACTCCTCTGCAACTTTCTATCTTTGGTACTTTGGTGGTTTGGCTTTGTGATTTCAATCAAAATCTCAGTTCTAATCTTCATAATTCAGGATATGTAGACACTCTAAACTAAAATGTCCTGAATTGAGGAAACAGGTTTCATCTGATTTAAAGCCAACTTTTTAGGGGAAATTGAACCTAGTAGCTTGAGGCATTAGTAAATGTACCAATAGCAAATGACAGTACTCTAAGCAATTAGGAGAGAAAAAGTGTTTTTAATATCTTTGTCACACTTGCTACTTTATCACTCTTCCTGCATATCTAATCACAATTATGTGTCCTCAAAATCACTTTAGGCTTTTGATATATCTATATAGCTCCTTTTTAACTCTACAGAAAAAAATAATGAAAAAGATGTTGAAGTGGGAATAATATTGTCTTAACGGTATCTGTTATATAAATTTTAGTATAATTGTTATTACCTCTACACAAAGCTCTAATCAGAAATCTGCTTACAGCACACAAAAAATAGAAACCAGATTCTTCTGGGTGTGATCAGATGTAGCTCTTTCTACTCTTCTGCCTTTGATGTTTCCCATACTCTTGTCCACACAGATTTTTGTTGTCATTGTGTAAATACAGCCCTTCAAGAAAACAAAACATTTATCTTACTTAGCTGCCTGCAAACTTATAGTGCTCCTGAATTTCCCTTGGTCATGTGTTTTCTAAAAGACATTTTCATACTATTGTACTACTTAATCTGAGCATTTTCTCCAGTGGGATCAAATGCCCTTCTTTTGTATTTCTGCAAAAATTATATTAGTTTACTGGATTTCTATTGAAATCAAATTCTTAAATGCCCAAGGTTACAGATCCACAAAGAGATAAAGTCTAATATCAATTCAGATAAAAGTATCCTAAAACCATTAAAAAGAGGTGGATGAGTATAGAAAGGCTCAAAGGAATAAGAATTTATCACACTATTGCCTTTTTAATATATAGTCTGTCACAGTTACACACTAAATAATAGTTATGAACAGTCATCCTTATTATGTCTCAAACAAAATTTTCAAACATGTACATCATTAAATCAGGAAGATCCAGGAGGACATATTGTGCCACTGGCTTTGGGTACCAGCCCTGTTAGTTTCAAATTCTGCTTCTTGTCTTTGTTTGCTGACACCTGGTTCTAATGAGCTTCACAAATGCATTCAGGAAAGATGTGCCCATCTGGAGCTTAGTAGAAATTACTTTGGTGCAATAAGGGTAATAAAGGAAATAAGTCAGTTTTCCCAAGATGCACTTGACTCCCAAATATTTTTGTCCTTCAGGCTTAGAAACTACTTGTAAGAAGTATCTTTTTCGTGGAGTCACTTCTTAAATAAAGTGGACTTTCTATGAAAGGCTTTCCTTTTTTTTAAGTATCATTCTGATATTTGTGTGATTCTCAATGTAAAAGTTTATTTTCTATATTAGTAATCTCAGCGTGAAACATTTACTGAAAAAAAGGAATCATTTTCCAAGGTTTTTATTTCAGCAATTTTTGATAAGAACTCATCTTTTTTTTTTTCTTCTTTTTTTTTTTTTTTTTTTTTTTTTTTAATATATAATACCAGCAGTTTCTCCTACATAAAAACAAATAACACATTTTTAAACAGGATAATGTTTGACTTCAAATTTTCAAATATCTCTAGTTTATTTCAGAGGCTAAAAAAAGTCTGAAATTCCTCCACCCCACTTGTTTCTTGCTCTCTTTCTTCTGGTGAATTGTAATTTGTTTCTTCCCAGCGTAATGTGAGATATGCTGCTCCTTCCATGTATTAAATACCAGCACGTACGATGAGGATGAGCAAACCAGTAAATGTTATTTGCCTCAGGAAGATTTTATCAGATCCATAAAATTTCAAGTAGAGAGATGTGGTAACAGAAATATTTGCAACTCAGGCTTACAGCAAAGAAAATCTAGCTCCCAAACTGTAAAATTAAAATAAACATTTTCCATTTTGGATCTGGCATCAGAAAAGGAAAGATACAGTCCCTGCTTGGAGATTGTCTTTCTTGATTATGATACTTCTTTTAAAAATGTAGAACTCCTACAGGATTCAAAACTCTTTCCTGAAAATAGTCATGTCAGAATAACAGAGTAGTTGTAGAGATACAGTATTCAAAGTAGACAGTGAAATGCTGCAATATTTTCAACTATGCTTGTCAACAAGACCCATAGACTGATAGGGGACAATTGGCCATCTTCCTAAATATCTGTTTTCTGAATAAGTTTTTTCTGTTGGCCTTGATTAAGACTGAAGTTAAGAGACAGTATGACTTCCACAAATAAAGATATGCTGAAAGGCAGTCCTGTATTTTTTCTCCTATGCCATCACAAACTGTCAGCTAGATATCTGTACTCAAATAATGGATGACATCTTCAATAAGAGACCAGCCAACACAGAGGACACTCCTAAGTGGAAGAAGGTACAACATTCAAGGTTACTGAGACATCTCCTTTTCAATCTTATAGCATCAATATATCACTGTCAATTCAGAGAATGGATTTGCTGTTAAGTAGGTACTATAAAAAGCCCACAGATATATCATGCCATTCCTTTTTAGAAAAGAAGCAATTCCTTTCTGTTCAAATAGAACACAAAACCAAATTACAAACTGCAATAGCACTGACTACAAAATACAAATTCTTTCATAAGTACCCACTTATCTTTGGAATGAACTCCAAGATTTATTTAGCCTTTCAGAATATCTAAAGGTTACATTCATATAACCACTCCTTTTTATCTACATTGGGAAAATGAAGTAAAAAGTAATTCATTTTACTGAAGTGAGACAAATTAATTTCAAACAATAGAACAAAATTTATTTTAAGAATGACCAAAGATAATTAAATGATGACGTGAAAATATTTGCTTTACGTCTTTTGAGTCTGCTTTCTTTTAACCATACCAGCAGACTGTACATGGCATTCCTATCAGAAAATAAATGTATGTTTAAGTGCTCAAAGAATGTAGCAC